GTTCGAGGAGCATCTTGCCACACTTGTCGCCGAGATGGACGCTGTACGCTCTGCTGTGACGCTTGGGGAACAGGTGCACAAACAGCATTTCCCTTTAACTATATTTATTCTTATGGTTTTCGCGTGTTGACCTTCTAGAAATTGGAGCGCTGCTATGAAATGCATCGCAAAGCTGCAGGACTGCAAGCCAATATTCTGCTCGTGTGGCAGCTGGCCGAGGTCATGAAGAACGTGACGAAAAGGGCTGAGGCATTCTTAAGCTCTTCTGACCCCGAGTGAAATCAGGGCAACACAAATTAATTAATTTTTTTTGGGTACATAAGAGGCATTGCACACAGGGAAAAGTTGCATTGGGAGTTCGGAGCCCGCCACTTGGTGGGCACGGAATATAAGAAAGAATGCACCAACCTATTTGATTTCTTAAACAGATATATGGAATTTGTTTTTTGTACTAAACAACTCTTGAAGTGGTACAGAACCATGCCGCTGTGATTGTGGGCAGCACTGTACGCAGTGTATGATGATGGCATCGCATATTGTCTATCGGGCTGCCGATATAACTATACACGACGGTAATTTAAGTGCAGCATATGAAACGAAAATATAGACGCGGGCAGAGGAAAGGATATCACTGGCAGAACCATCGATTTGAAAAGGATCGATTTGTCCGGCTAGTAGCAGCCACACCAGTGCCAAGCAGCTTAAAACGCCTACAGCAATAAATAGATCTCATCAAACCTTACTGCGTGATTTACTTAAATTAACTTTACTAGCTCAAATATACCGAAATTCGCGGTTCGATTCAGTAACTGATATCTGCTTCTCCCCCACTCGCCCGATGCTGCATTGGCATCGTCGGCGGCGGTCAGATCCAAGGCAATCTATTTGTGCGTTTGCCTTCCCTTTCCACTTTAAAACTTTTACAAATTATTTCATATCCTCCGTTTTAGTTTATTGCTGGTGCATTTAGAGCGCCGTGGGCGACTTCACAGGTCCTCCAACCTTCACTTACAGAGAGGTATATTCTCTCATTGCTTGCACCGTGGAGGCACTCCGAGCGCCATCAGCGCCTTCAGAATTGAAGTGTACCTTTTACTTAAACAACGGAGACTGAAGAGGCGCATTCTCCCTGAGTCTGCAGCCTCGAGCAGACCAAAAGCAGTGGCGTGACCGGTCCTCTGTACATACGGAAAATGAGTTTACGCAGAATAGAGTCTGCCGTCATACCCACCCCCAGAGAGCACGTTCATACCATCCTTCCCCATGGCCACACTCGTCGTGTCCCTGTAGAAGCCGTGTGCAGGTGAGCTGAGAACAATCCCACCCAAACAGAGCACATCAAGTTGGAAGTTACGGCTCATAAGCTCACCAGCGTCCAGGACGCTTTCCTGCTTTCCTCGCCTGCAGACTGGCAGAAACCCCAACCGCCGTCCTTGGCAGCTGCCAAGATGCACTTTGCCCATCTGCAGAATCCCTCAGCCCGCACACAGTATGTATACAGCTGAACTACACACTCCACTTCACACTGCTTTCGACACGAACTCCATACAGATAGGCAGCTTTTTGCACAACTAGCCAGGAACACACAAAAAACGCAGTCTTTTGGAGTTGCATGTGCTGGGCAAGGGCAAGAAGAATACGCTATGTAATGCTAGCAGAATTCTGTAGAACCAGCACATCTTAATTAGGATGGGTCGTGCAGTGTATGTGCAGGTCCTTGAAGAAAATGACCAGGCTCGAAGGGATGAATCCGGGAGTGAGCCACTGCCTCTGGCTTACTTTGCTGTTCCTGAGCATAACATTTCAGAGCCTTCTGTTGAAGAAGAGCCGATTGAAGACAGTAATTTGATAAAAGATAGAACACAGAAGGCCCAACAGCCGACTCCCACAGCGTCTTCATCGTTGTGCTGGAACTTAGTGAGGCTCATACACAGATGCGGCAGTTGCAGTGACTCTGATATGAGCATTTGATGGTAACAACACGTATACAAAAGCACATTTTCGCCATATTAACACTTCTGCATGCGTTTAAGGAAACAACACTCGAAAGTCACTTCGGTCTCATTGCTGCAGCTGTGGCATTTGGTGGCACACTGTCTTGCTTCTCCGCTGCAGTGCCAATGCGGGGCAATCTCGCAAACAAACCTAGACACAGAAGAGGCTCCTCCGCCCTTGCCTTCAGAGCAGGCAACGTCAGCAGAAACAGCAGCAGCCAACGCACCTGCTGAGGCCGGGGCTACAAAAAGTGACGAAGGTCTCAATATTATTACGGTGAGCTGCATTATCATTAGGCTGAAGAGGAGTGAGCGTTTTCGAAGCTGCTACTTAGCTGTCTCCCCTTACAACCGCCTTCCACACTCGCGCACCTTTTAGTATACAGGTATTACCACGCCTCTTACCTAGGCGTTCTTTAGTAAGCTTTTGCTGCCGCGTTGTGCTGCATCTGCTGTGGTGATGCCTGCCGTAGAAATGCTGCGGCCTTTCTGCCCAGGCTACTTCGCCGCCTGCTGCAGTGGAGACTGCCTCTCGGAGCTCCGAACAGCAGCAGCAACCTGCCACAGTTAGCGCCCCGCCGAAGAGTGAAGCTTATATAAGGCCTGTAGAGACTTACCAGACGAAAGACAAGGAGAAGGGAGAGAGACCGTCTCAGGTTGTGTACATCGACCATTACCCCGAGCCTTTTGTGAAGAGCTACTTTGGTGATGATGGAACTGTTGAGATGCCGAGTGACTGGAGAGGTAATAACAAAAGCAGCATTACAAGTATTTAAGCAGGGTTTGGCACCTTGTGCACTCTGTAGTACTATTGATTCTGCACGCGGCTCTACTCCATAGGGCATTCCTCCTTCTGGAATCTTAGAGCAGCTAAGTAATAAAGGGAAGTGTACTGCCTGACTAGAGTTTCACTATTGACGTCATGCTTGTAGAGAACTCGAGATAAGGGTGCCTATCACACGCAATATATTAATAATTTTTAGTGTGTTTCATGCTGTCAGTTCATGTGTGCTGCATTCCCCGCCTTGCAGACATCCGATTCAACACGGCCACTGACATCTTGTATGCAGCAGGTGAGGGTATCTCTTGCCCGCAGTAGTTTTTGCTCTAGTGTATGCAGCTCATGATGGACAACGCCGTGCTTCAGCGATCTGCATACAATGCCTCATTTCGCTACTTTTGTCCTATCAGGAACGGCTATGAGTGTAGTGGCGGCTGGTGGAGCTGTTGTCCTTGGTACTGCGGCACTGACTGCGGGACTGACTGTCGGCATTGCAGCCCTTGAAATATACAAGCGCGTAGCGAATAACTATGACATATGAGTTTCTTTCTACGCAGCAAATTGGTAAACAAATGCGCGTTTGGATTAAAATTTATGCAAGTAAGTACTAAAACGTCTTAAATCCTAGCCGGTATCCAGCCACTTTCTTTTATCTTTGAACTGATTGAACCAGCCCCCAAAGTCGTACGACGCCCAATTAAGCAGTCCTACAGCCGTCGTTTTTCTCGGCATAGGCTTTCAACTGATACGACCAAAACATATTTCATTTTCACTTCGTGCGAAAAACAGCATTGGCTGCATTTTTGATGACTTTCGTGGTGCCCAGCGCCTATCGTCAGAAAATGACACATTCATTTGATTGCAGCAGCTTTCTTGTCTTTTTCAAGTGTATATATTTTCGGAGGGCAGTGAATAAGGCCATTGAAAGACGAGTTGGTGTAAACTTCACCGTAGCAGCAATGTGCCCGTCGCTGCTGCAGCTTTGTCGCTTAATCTACTGGCTTTCGGCAAGTGAATGCCCTCGAGCACTAACAGACAAGCCTGAACATACATAGAAGCAGAAAAGATCTGAGACAAGCACCGAACTGTATCTTGGCTTCACACTTGCATGTCAAGTACAGAAAGTAGGGACTAGGCCCGCAGGAGCGGTGGCAACACAATGAGGGTGCACGGATTTTAGTCACAGACTTAACTTGATACAGTCGCAAGAGGGAGATTTGAGCCTTACCGCCGTGGTAGCCTAGCAACTGAAGCGTTTTGTACGTAATCATAAAGTGTCCCACATTGACCGCTGGTTCGCCTGCCAGTTGAGCCTTAGGGATAAAATTCTGCCCATCCAAAACTTGATCTGCATAGACGTGATGAGGCACAGCAACAAGAGAAAGTAGCTCATAAATGGTTGATAGGGTCACTATGTCAAAAGTTACCATCGGCCCTTGCGGGAAAAAGTGCCACCGCTTGTACATTTAGTAGTAAATGATAAATTATCCCTCGTTATCGGGAGTGACTTACCGTGTAATTCTGAAGCTGAGAAAGAGAAAGCAAACACACACACAGAGGCGACCAATGGCCGATTGTGCTGTGTCTTAAATGCGACCGGAGTGTGACCTAAGGTCAGTTGCACGGAATACATGACGGCGAAACCTAAGGGGACCGTATAACTGAACTTACGCAGTTGAAGGTCGCCGAAGTAAGAAGCTGAAAAACATGGGGACACATACTGAGGAACAAGGCAGTTTTGACACCTCGCAGCTGCTTCCACGTAACTGAGATTAACGTGAGATCTATTGAGATGTGAATATATCGTGATATGTATCCAACTAGGAATGTTCAATATATATCGCGGATCATTCCTTTTCTAATGAAGTGTCAAGTTAATCAGTGTCGAAGTTTGAGCGACTGCGCATGCATACCTGTTTGGGTGAAAAGGCCTCCCATGAACTGACGATCTGTGCAAGGACAACAAAGGCAGGAGAGAAATCGAGAAAAGTTAGATGTGAAATAGAGAGTTGGGTTGTGTAAAACAGTCAGAATAGTAAGAAGTATACAAAATCTTTGATGGCAGGACATTAGTGGGCCGGCTATACAGTAAAACTAACTACCGGAAGAGCAGAGCTATAAAGCATAAGGGCACAAAAAAGCTCATTCATAACTGCATTGTAAAGAAACGAAGATTGCTTTTGTAATGCGCATGTGCTTGAGCTTTTGTGTTATACACAGTTGTCTCATTTCGGATTACCTTCTGCAAATACAAACAGCAACTTCGTGTCCAGGGGAGTCTTCGTGTCTGCATTTGGAACCGGGCAAGCAGTTGTCTTTAGGTCTGAAGCATCCCTTTAATGCAATTATATCAAGGCTCTACCCAGAAAGGCAGGGAGCAGTCCTCGTGAGGTGTTGAGTGTGCCTGCACTGGTTTGCTGATGCTCTGACTGATGCACAAATTTCAATAGGCTCCATCAGCGCAGAAATGATAAACTGTATGCAATGTTGACATAGTGGACCGTACATAATCATGTAGGATGGTATAATACATATATATATAATCATCTAGGGTGATGCACACGGCATATACCAATGGATCACGCACTTCTTAGTGAGTTAACGCAGGTGTACTCAAGCATAGCTTTTTTTTTTCAAAAACGTACGCATACTCTCTCCCGCTTCGACGTGCCACTTTTTGAATCTTCGCTTGTTTGCAATATTCGACAGCTTTTCATTTAGCCAGGATGCGGCAGCTACAGGAGCGAATAGAGGAATGAAAGCAAGTTTGGACTTTGTGATTTTCCTCCAGATGTGGCTTTTCGCTCCTTGAGCCCCTGCAAAATTGTACAGCGAAGGTTTGAGATGTCAGGTACTTGCAGCAAATTTGAGGCACGTGCACGCGCACTTTGGTGACACATACATACGTAGACAAACGAAGAAGAAGGGTGCAGTTTCGATCCGGCAGTTTTGCTCCGCCGTGCAGCTTACGTATTGCTGAGAGCGATATGACGGCTTGTCTCTCCTTTCTTTTCGCCTCATTAATGTACGAAGACATGAAAGGGCACGAAAGCTGTAGGTGGACGGGTTGTTTAGCAACTCTTTTCCTCGACTTGACGTCTACCTGACTGATGCGCGCCACGTGTGCCGTGGCAAACAATGCGTTCAAATAGTCCTGATAAGCTTCAGGAGTCTCCTTGGCGAGGTCAGACTTCGCCACTCCTATAATATATTCTGCATCTCAAAAAGTAGTAACACAGTAGTGCCATTCCAGTGGTTTGCTTTAATTCCTCGCGGGTCGGTAGCAACACTATTTCCGGTATTTTGGCCTTTGGTATAAAATGTGTGTCGTTTGTTGCTCTTTAGCTCACGCTGTAATCCGGCGCAGTGGAAACGCAACGAAGCTTCTGTCTGCATAATGGCAACTCCGCTGAGGACTCGGCTGCCCTGCAAGTACAAGAAAAATCGCAGGTACTTGTGCTCTGTTTTAAGTTCTGTTGAGCGTTTGATCCACTGTTCATCACAAGGTGCCCTTAGTGCCAAAGCGACAGGAATTGCCAGCGCCGTAAAGACTACTCAAGAAGTTGCTTACCTTCTGACTAATCTGGGAGGCAAGAAGAGTATGTGCAAGGTCGACAGCCACCCTTATCATGTCTACTGGGTCTGCTGAACCTGCTGCAATCTCAATGAAAAAGTCCTCTAGGTTAGCCCTAGTCAGAGGTACTTGCCCTCGTTTGCGCAAAGACACCACAGCGCCTGTTAGCTCGTACTCAAAATTTCCAAGGTATGATACTCGGCCAAAATCAATTGCTCCTGAAGCAAGCCATGACAAGACAGACGCCAGATAGCCTTTGACACATAACACAGAAACTTGATATATTTTTTCTGATCTGTGACACCGCGAACCCAGGATGAAAATGAAAAAGTGGAAACTTAGCTTACTGGCGCCTGGTAATCTGCCCGCTGCTTCCATCACGATGTCAACTGCATAGCCGATGTGCCCTTTCTCTACGAGACAAAAAACGAAGAACTAGGAACGACGTTTCATAGCAGATTACGCCTATGTCTCCACGACGAAGCAGACTTTTACTCAAAATTCTCGAAGCCTCAGAATTAATTGGCTTGCGGAACGTTACATTGAATGTGAAGCTTTGAAAAAAAAAACAGCATTTTGCAGCTGTGCATGCTTAAAATTATGGCGTAGTGAAACCATTCGAACCTACCGTGAAGAATGGCAGCAAGAAGAAAAGTCTTTCTGGCCACTGAAATATCGTTGCTAGCAAACGAAAAACTGGGTAGCTGCCTTTGTGTCCATAGCCCCATAAGAATTCCGACGAACTCTTTAAGTGAGTGTGGAGCCTCAACTGCAGGCTCAAGGAACAGCTTGCGCGCCTCTGTAGCCAAAGCGTATATTACCTCCAGGGCTCCTCGATAGGCTGCAAGGCTTGCGCCAGACGCTGGCTGCATTGTGAGCTCCAAGTTTACCCAATCTGAAGGTTTGCGTGCCACTCGTTGCTTCTTTCCTGCCAGCCGCTTTACAACTGCTGACCCAACACGCAATACCGATCTTCCTAGCGACCGAAACAAGCCTTCCTTCTCAGCATACTCCTCCACAATGGAGTGCAAAAATCCAGCTGCGCCATACACAAATGCAATTTATATATTTGTGAACTACAAGCAGGCGACAGATGAATAGGTGAGCAAAGAGGTATAACCCACGCTGGATCCACGAGATTACGTGACTCAGAGTACACTAAAGAGCAATGGTGGCGACACTAGCAGTGCAAGCCAGTGGCAGCTTTACCTGTCTGCATGCAGACAGAGGTAAGAGGAGCGTAAGACCTTGGCAGTCTCCATTTGGGCTGTGACTGGAACAGTGCCAGCAACACAGCTCCTAAAGAGTCTCCCCCTTGTTTCCACTGCTCGGCTTTCCGTGCAAAGGCATTGCTTCCTGCATGCATTTCCCTCGCCCTTGTCCATAGAGTCTGGCAGAGCAAGTAGGGGTTAGCAAGCGCTTTTGGTCCTTGCTTTTCAGAAGCCATAGAGGCGATTGTGGCTTCGAATGCCTGAATGGCCTTGAGGGCTTGAAGTCTCTTTCCGAGGTGGCCGCCCTTAACTGCGAAGGCTTCAAGAATGCAAGTTGTCTGTCTTTTTCGTTTTGTTGTTGGGTGGAGAGCTGCCCAAGGCTCTGCTTCCTTTCGCGGCTGGTCCTGCACACAATATAATTGGCACAATCAGCAATGGGGAGTTTACCAGAAATATTGCAAAGATAGGCGCAAAGACTAAGTGCATGCATTCCAAGAGACACGAAGCGCTGCCTACCAGTTGACGGAGAAAATCAGGAACGGCAAATTGAGGGTCCTCAGGATCCACAGGTGCTGCGACCAGTTGCTTGGCTTCGCTGCAAGTAACACTGCCGTCAGATATCCCGCAGACGTCAGACGTCTCGAGGAGCAAAGCAGCAAAAGTCCGTTCTAATGAGGCCTCGGCTAGTTGGACGAGACGAAGATGGTGGAACAAAAAAAGACGAAGCACTGAAAAGAAAAGCAAACCAGCAGCATGCGCGTGGTGGAAGCCCACAGAATTGCAGCAAAATGCTACTTCCAATTTACGAGCAGCGGCGGCATACACTGCCTGTATGATTTAGAAACATCATGATACGCACCGTCTGCAGTGACTGTGTCTTTCGGCCGTTCTGGCCGTTCTGGGCTAAGGGAAACAGCGAAAAGTCGTTCACACTTTTTGCTGCAGAGGCCGCTAAGCCCAAAAGCTTTTTTTCTTTTAACCTGTGTAGGGGCCATGCCTGAAGGAAGCAAAGGGACCGACGAGAATGTGACATATTGTTTGCAATCTACATCTATAATGGTGCCTGTGTCGTACTTGCACAGTTTTGTGGATCTGAAGCGTAAGTTCCTTTTTTACTCACCACGGAGCCTTTGGGTAGCAGAGGCCTTCAAGATCCAAACTGCAGCAACTATAGGCGAAGTGGTAGCCCATATCCGTTCTAAAAATATCACAGGCAAAAATGGTAAGGAAGAGTGGAAGATATGTTCGTATGCAAGATGGAAGCTAGGTAAAAGGCTTATCAGCCGAAAGTTGCGCACGGTTATCCATGAGGTCTTGTAGAGTCCTCTGGAATTGGGGCCCTTCAAGCCAGCGTTTGGTGATTGTCAATCCACGGGGTGGCTCTTCTACACCTGCAAACAAACACAGGCTCTCCAGGGTCTCCAGCAGAGAAAGCACTTTTGGTCTTTCGGGTAGCTCTGCATAATCACCATGTACGCAAATCATATGCTTGCATCAAAGAGGGGGCAGTATGTCACCGGTAAAATCCCGCGAGTTCTCCATGTATGTGGACATGAACGTGTGTGCCACCACTGGGCAAGCCATCCACTCCACGGCGCCGTAGTAATCTACAGGCCGGCCTCCTGCAGAAAGCTTGTCCTTAAGGTTGCTCACTGTACACATCAGAATCAAAAGCGCACGGTGCGCTGGGCAGAAATATATCACGTAGGGAGCAGCTGAACAAGCCACCCTGAACAGCCCACTGTTTGTACAATGGCGTACATTGATTAAGGCGAGCCTCGCCCACTCTGTCCAGGTCCTCAGGGGACAAATCATAACCAGCAGCATCTGAGAACCGCACATAATTTAAACGCATCGATAAAAGGCAATAATGCGGTTAACAGAAACCAGCGATGCCTTGTGCGGGAGCTCTAGAGTTGATGGAAATATATTGGGTACCTCAGTTCCTTGAATCAAAGTCGGTCTGCTGCTTACCGCGGTCAGCGCTAGTAATTTCTTTTTCTGGCCAGGGCAGCGCTGCACACAGGTGCCTCTGAGACGGTGAGGAGTGGCCTTCCTCCTTCAGTTTTCTTCTCGCCTTTTCCTGGTCCAAGATATTTTCGTCTGTATTAAACAAATAGCAGAAAAGTCAATCAAGCTGCAGCAGCTACGGCTTTGTTGTGCGCAATGTGAAACTGCCTGGCCTGGATAAATGCGCAGCTAACGCAGCTCAAAGTTTCGTGTCCTGCAGCTTACACTGGTGGACGGTAACACTTTTGAGTACGTGCTCCGTGACTGCAAGCTCTTTCAACTGAAAGACCATCCAAGATGGGGCTTCGTGTGCTAATGTATTAATGTTGACTTCCTTTTCGCCTTTCTGCAGGGCCTGGAGGTTTTCCGTCACTGAGAGTACACCGGGGCAGTAAAGGGGGAACTGTATGCTCGGAATTATTCCACTGTGCAAGCTACTACAAGCGTGCTGTTTGAGAGGGGGAAGCGGCAGCCAGACACATACCATCTTTAGCAACAGATGTGAAAGCCTCTGCAGGAAATCAAACGCAGAAAACTATGCACATTTTGCATGAGGTAAGCCAAGACCAAGGGAACAAAACGAAAGGTTGATAGAAAAACGGACTCACCAAGTGCTGTTGCTGAGAGGAACGGATAGGCATCAACCAAGTTGTTGAAATCTAAAATGACAAAACGGAGCAGAAAAGACTCCAGCAGTTCTCCTCAGTTGAGCTAAACAGCATAAAGTGCGCCGCTAAGTTCATAGATAATGTTTACAAGCAGATACGGGTACCGAAAGGAATGAGGACTAACCGTCTCGCAGCTCGCCAACAGCTACGTCAAGCTCTGGGGACGTTGAAACCGATAAGGAAAGGGCAGCCTTTGTCTCTGTGAAAAATGCAGGCCCATACGTAAGCGCTTCATTAGTTAGGCTTAAAAAAGGATGCGGCTGAGGCAACGCAAATTTTTTTAGCTGATTTCGTTGTAGCCTCAGCCACATACCCGTGGAGAGGCTCTCAGTAGAAGCCGTGCTTTCCGTCTCGCCTGGGGTCTCGCCCCGGTTCTCGCCTGGGGTCTCGACTGGGGCCTCCCCTGTAGCCAGAATTGCTACAGTTTGCAGGAGAAACAAGGTTTTCCACAGAAGTGAGATAAAGGCTCCTGCAGGAAGGGGAAACAAAAGGTTTGTAGAACTGCGTGTGGAAGCTTTGAAACCAAAGTTTCTTTGGGTAACCCACCCATTCACCGCAGTAGCCCGGTGCAACATGCATTTTACTTAGCCTAAGCACTAAAAGTAAGTTTATTGGCAATCTGGTGTGGTCTTTGAGCTCCTGTCTCTGTGGCAAGTTTGGCTGCGTGGGTGAAGTCCTAGGTAGCAGCGTCCGCATGGCCTAAGCAGGGCCTGAGAGGTGACAAGGTGGCATTTGCGAAGGGGCGTCCTAAAGCCGTTACAAAGTGGAGTTTTGCTTTACTAGATCGATGATTTGATGCTCGAGCATCCCCTCTCCAACTGCGGGTCTCAGCCCCCATCGAGCTTGCCGCGGCCGACATGATTAAAAGCAGCGTCTACAGCACCGTAGAGGGGTCCTTCAAGACAAATGAAAAACCAATGTTTAGAAGAAAGAATAAAATGGGCCAAAAAGGTATTTTCCTGATGCACAGTCAGGGAATATCTCCATGTGCATATAGCGCACGCGGCGTGCCAGCCGTGGCCGGAAGAACGAGCTGCTGAGCGGCGGAGGGATAGATAAGAGGCGGCATCCACAAAGGTACCCATACTTTCGAATAATGGAATTTTCAACTGAAAATTTAGTAATACTTTTTAATTGCGAGTTCGCGACCAGCAATTAAATCAGGTGCCCGTGATGAGGTGGCCTCACTGTCGGCAGCGACCAAGACACACAGAGTATCGAGCGTCTACAGGTGACCATCCTGAGACCTGGCAAAACAAGGCCGTGAGGACAGATGAGCTTTGAAAAACATTTTACTTGAGTTGATTAATGCTTAGTTCGTCTTGCCCAATTTTCAGGAGAGAATGTTTCAGATCGCGTTCAATGGCCGCGTGTCGGGTTTCCTTCGTTTTGCCCACCGCCGAACTCAGCTAGTCTTGCACGGAGCTCACAATAGTACTACAATGTGAGATCACTACCAAGTAGTAAATCTGAATAAATAACTAAATAGCAGGATCAAATTCTACCAGCACCAATTGTTTAATAGGATTCGGTTAATTAACCGAATCAGCATGCCAGGGCTCTTCTTGGAATAAGTGAAGCACGGTGCGTCCACGCATTGAGCTCTGTACGCCTTGTGAATCATATGATTTTATTTCGGCAGTTTCTTAGAATTACAAATTGCACATCACTGAGGAGCTCTAATGGGGTGGTGCTCGACGGGAAGCCTTCCCTTCCAATTGCTGGCAGCACTTCAGCAAAGTGGGGAGGGCAATGTACCATTCATCTTGGGCAGCTACAGCCTTAAAAAGCCGCGTACGCTTCACATAATATCTCTGCTTCTTTAACTGAAAGGGATACACTCTCGGCGAATGAGCTGTTATTCGGAAATGCCATGCTGGCCTCCCTCCTTCTTGCCTTCGCTCAATATTGCGATACTCTAGTTATACTGGAAGTTTGTTTGAAAAAATATGAAGAAGTAACAGGAATTTCCGGCTTCTCGAAACATTTCCAAAGGGCTGCTAAATATTGTGCCATGGCCTTTCCATGGTTAACAACGTACACGGCGCCGGGCACTGGCGTTGCCCTCTGGCACCCTACTGTGGGAAAGAAAATGGAATCAAGAAACATTAAACATGAACTGGAGAGAACAGGCCTGTATAGAACAGCATATATCAGGGTCTTTTGGGTTCCCCTGCTGGCACGCGCCTTCCCAGCGCGCCATGCACTGCAACCGAGCTTTGCTTGGGAACAAGAAAAGGGGGGTCACTAAATAGTCTAGGGGAGTCTTTCCGTGGGCTTCTTGGCAAGGGGTCTGCCACATGTGTGGTGTCGTCGCAGTGAGTCTGCTGCGCCATAAAGCAGCAGAAGCAGCGACGGTGTTTGCAATTTGTGCAGCCAGTGGGAGAAGACGACCCGAATAGCGAGCTCTGCTGCGTACTGTCGATTACATTGGCCTTAGAATGCCACGTGCCCTCCTCTACGAATTTCTGGGATGGCAGCTCAGTCTCAGACCCGCTGGCCACTCTATCTAAGCCTTCCACGTTCTTTGCAGGGGTGCTAGCCCTCTCCTCCAATGCAGCTGCTGCTCCCGCTGGAAATCCTGCGGCTTGGTCACTATCGATTTTGGATTCTGAAGAGGTTCCCAATATTCTTGTTGTCGGTTGGTGCATAGAGTCTGCAAAAGGCTCATCGTGTTCAAGAACGGCGTCAGTTCTGTCCTTCGGCCATTCGGGGTACAGGAAGGAATTGCACCTTTTCTGACTTTTATGGCCCGCTGCACGTTGTCTCTGATACCTTCCTTGTGCCTTTTGCATGAGCAGCCCTGATCCTCGGCCCGCATCAAATCCAGAATGAGTTCGCGGTCTTGCATCAGGCCCGTCCCTCCGGCCTTGAGATTCCGTTAACAAGCTTGAATGTGCGCTGTTACTGGGGTCAGCATTAAAGGCAACCGACCTAGCCGTGTCTGGGACTGGAGAGGTGCTCGACCCGCGACCACCCAGCCGCCAGTTCCTTGGAAGGAGTACGTGGCTGCCAGCCAAGGTGGACCTCATCTTCGAGTCCAGTCCCTCCCTCATGATGCGGCGCAGGCGTTTTTGTTTGTCGACTTCGTCTTCGTGACCTTCACTGGAGGCTTCACTGCCAAGAGGCTCGCTCAGTGCGTCATCTGAGAAGTCACTAGAATCCCGCCGGCTTGACACATGGCTGCTGCTATCACTGTCTTCCTCTTCCTCTGATAGGGAGGGACTCTGGCTCGCGAATTTTAATACGATTGCCGGCAGGCCTTCAGAGGTTGACGAGCCCTGCGAGCCTGAGTCCGACAGCGGAAGGGGGACGTCCGCGATAGAGCCTGTTGTTCTCTGTCGTAGCTGTTGCTGATGGTGCTCTTGTGGTTTGCTGCTGTCACTGGGGCGCCGCGAGTTGCTGCCTCTTCGGCTACCTTTGAACAACACCACAGCTGAAGGCGGCTCGATGACAACAGGCACGAACTGCTGCGGAGCTGTTGTTAATGTGTAGCCCTCCATGGCATTTTTGTTCGCATGTGCGCTTTTGGACCACGTTGGGGAGAGCTCTCGAGTACGCTCCAGGATGTCTACTGCCCTATCACTGAAGGCGACAGGACGGCATGGGGATGCGGAGCGCCGCGCGACAGGGCTCTGTGCTTTTCTCCGTATCAACTTTACCACTGAATCAAACAAAGCGGTCAAACGCCGTCGGCGCCAAGCATGCTGTATAACTCGCGCAGCTGCGTGGCGATGCAAAGCTCTGACAAGGGCCTCTTGCTGACTCAGCCAAGCCTCGTTAGTCTCTTCGCCTCTTTTGGTCCCCCTTGCAGTCCTCCCTCCACTTACACCCCTTCCCGTGTCAGTCGCGGAGATCAAATCTGAGTTTCCCGAGTCCGAGGATGACGCTATGCTACTCTTTCCCGAGCTGGAAGTAGCAGCACTCGAGCCCCAAACAGGAGTGTGGGTCGGCTTGTGCACTTCCGCGGTAGCCTCAGGCACCTCATCTGCGTTACGGTGGCCGCTGTGTTCTTTCACTGCCTCATCTGCTGCATTTCTGGAAAAGGCTTGAGCCGCAAAAGGCGGTCTGAACGTGTGCTCACCAGACACGTGTTCTGCAGTGCTCCTCTTCGCCCCTTCCGCGTCCCCAAACTCTTCTGCCGTCGGTAAATTATCATGAGTCTCGTCATACTGCTTACTTGTCATTCCCCTCTCCGGTTGGATCGTCTGAGCACACTCTAGCTTATACGCACTGCTCGCTGGTATTTCCATTCCCGCGGGGATTGCTTCACTTTGCTCTCCTGCCATGGCATGGCTTGCACCTGCCGCTGCTGTTCGATCAGCAGGGACTTCGGATCTTGCTTCAAGGTGGGCTTGCGATATCCTCCTTACCTGATGCAAGTCTGTCTCGCCACTCCGCCTTGTCCTTCCCTGACCTCTTTGCGCTTGACCCACTTGGTACCGTGGGCTGCCCTGCTCAGTCGTTGCCTGCCTCGACACCGACTCAGAAGCTGAGGGTGAGCTGCGGTGCCTAATCCTTTCTTGCCTCTGCTCCTTTTCTCTCTTCCATAAGGTAGCCAAGAGCACTGTATGCTGCCCTCTGATGTGCTTTGCAGCTTCCGCAACAGGCTTCCATGGCTCTTGAGGACTCTCCTCTATCCCGTGATCTGCGGTTTCTTGCTGTTTGCTTAAGTCGTTGCAGTCCCCGTGCGAAACATTCCTAGGGGCTGTTATGCCCGCGACGCTGATGCTTGGAGAAGCTTGTTCGCCTAGCCCTTGTGTCTGTTGGAGGAGAGCATTCCGCACGGCCTCCAAATCCACTCCCTTGCGCATCGCCTGGCTGGCTGATGCGTCCTTGGCGCTGCTTTCAAAAGGCGTATGCTGCTCCGTTGCGTGCTGCCTGGACAGAGAAACAGAGCGCCACCCTGTACTGTGCGCCATTAGTCTTTTCTCATGTTGTGCTTCTGTTGCTTCCGCAATGGTTCTTAGCAGCTCTCGCTGGTGATCACGGATTTTCAAGGCAGCATGTGATGCACATGGTAGAGGGACTGCTGCTGTGTTGCCAATAGTGGCGTCGTCGTCTTCGTTTGTTTCCTCTCCTATCCCCTTGCTCCCCGCCCTGTAGTCTGTCTGAATTTGTGCTGAGCTGGTTGGCCTCTTCCCCAGTGCTGGGCTGATCAGGACTGCGTGAGACATAGGGAGAAGGCATTTGTCGTGAGTGTCCTTCTGTGATAGCTCTGCACCCACAATAATCTCCAAGCCGTCTACGGGTGAACATTCCTTAGGAGTTGGTGGCACTGATGTGTTTGGGTCCGAGTGCCAAGGGGACGAAGAGGCAGACAGCCGCCGCCGTCGTAAGCTTTCTACTCTAGCAGCCTCCGCGAGCGCCGCAACGCCTGCAGCCCTTTCTTTATGCTGCGCCAAGCAGCGCAAAATGGCAGGACATGAAGCACCTTCCAAAGCTTCAGTGGAGCCGCCACCTTCTGCAACTTTCTGGCGTGTTTCGCAGACATTATTCACTGCAGCGGCAGCCTTTTTTCCTTGCGACTCGCTCACGATTGGGCTCAACAGCCCGTTGTCGCCAACTTGAGCAC